GATAAGAAGAATGTCGGCAACTAATTCCACTTCCGTACAAACTAATCATGGAAGGTTCAGCATTCTCCTCACCGCCTCAGCTTATTGAGCAGTTGCATAAGGCAATAGTCTTAGTCTCCGAAGAAGCCGATGTGGAGCATAAAGTGACCAAATTTAGGACTTGAGCCCAAGTTCTGCAAAGTCTACTACGTCGGGGTGGCAAACTGACTGACTGACAGCATTTAGGCCCTAACAATAGTCGAGATTCGTGTTCAGTGCGATGTGAAATAGACCGGTAACTTATTTGAGGCGTACAACTTTCTAGATGCTAGCGTGGAATAATACGACTAGTTTTCAAGATGACAATGCTGTCCACGCTAAATCCAAATCTTGATAAATACTACCAATTAGGTTGTAGTAACATCGTTTTCCACATTTAACAATAAAAAAAGTACTCTCTTTGTCCCTTCTCTTAGAGGCACTACTCCTTCTCTTCATCTTTCTGCGCTTTAATTTAAAATTCAATGCGTGACATGGTCCAGGGATGACCTTGACACTAGCCAGTAGACATCCCAGACGGTTAGCCTTCGAAAAGGCGACTCGAGATTCGAACGACGCCTATTGGCACCGAGGCAGCTGTAGACGTCTTCATCCATTCTTAACAGAAGCTATCCTTACTGATTGACATTTCGCTACTGTACACATTCACAAGAACCCTTTAAATTCTTCCCGAACAGGATTTTACAGTCTCTTGACCAAACTCCTACCTCATCTTAGTTTGGAATCTGTTTCCCAAGTAAGTAGACACAGATAAGTCTATACATGAGTAAATAAGTAACTGGGCTAGAGCTTTATCCAAAAACAATGTGAAGTTGCTCATTTACCAGTGAAAGTGCCATCTTCAGTACAAGGAGGTGGAAGAGAGTCCTCTCTACTTCCAAAAGCACCAAACAATCTTTCCGCCAAAGCTAAATTTTAAAAATGACCTTCAAAACAACAACAAAGGCATGATAACTAGCTTCAATGTAACCTACTTGGAGTGCTAACAATGGTCTTCGAAACACATCACAGACGCACTAAGTCTTGAAGCGGACGACTCCCTTTTCACCCCACAAGAAAGACACACAGAGGGTGCGGCTCTCTCTCTCTCTGTCTCTCCATAGCCCTTACCAACGTTTTGAAAGGGGTTGAAATGGTTTCTGCCCTCTAGTTTCAGCGTTAAAAAGTGTAATTCTACGTCAGCATCGCTATTTTAGTCAAAAAAGGTAGCCATGAGGAAGAATAGGATGGGAGAAGGCGGAACGCTTTGCAAATGACAATGAGAAAAGGGGGAGAAAGTGACATTGAGGAGACAGCTCCCCTACATACCCTACGCTATACTCTGTCCTGGAATTGATACCGCGCCGTTACTTCGCTGGTAGGAGGTCTGGTAAATTCTCCTTGCACAAAGAGTCCACCATTGACTCTCGCCGATGACAGAGTTCGGGTAGGTGGGTGCCAAAGATGGTCTCTTGACAGGTGAGGTCAAATTTCCTCGCTGGTCTCTAGTGGCACCTCTACCAAAGGCGCGTCAAGGTGAAGCCCCATCAAATGGATACCCATGTGCCAGTTCTCCGACGGGTCCAAGTCAAATGTGGGCGTTTGAAGGTGTCAATTATTTCATACTTTCGACCTCGAGAGTTATGGATGCATCCGGTCAGTTCTTTTTCACTACTCCTAGCACATAATTATTCCTCTAAAAGGATGGATCCCTCCTCATGCATATTCCAAAAGACGAACAGCCCTGTTTACTGCTTGCTGGAGTGTATTCAGATGGAAGGCATCTGCTGCTTACAGCGGGGTCTCCAGAGATCCACGGGGAAAACACTGTTGATATCAAGTTAAATACACCTGAAAGTGATCAAATCAGAATGAAGCAAAATTGTCCTCTAAGGAAGGGTTGTAAAGTTGCCGCGAGCACAGCGATTAATGTGCAGAACATAAGGCCACAGTACTCGCTACGTTGCATAGACGCAGATGCTTCTATGGCAAGCGAGGAGCACATGAAATAGAAATGTGAGCGGCCTTCAGTAATGCTATTCAAGGGCTTTGTCTAGCCGTGATGAAATCCTCTCTGGTTTCACTTCACCCGAGGTCGGAGAATGATTAAAGTGGAGGACTGCGTCAAGATAACCCTCAAAGCCGGGAGGGAATTGCATGCTTCACTGCCATTTGTCTTAATCCAACATTTGCTCGGGGGCTGTGGTCACGTCATCTCCACACCACTCGTCCATAATCCTTCCGTAAGTCGGCAGAGTCAACTTCCACACTGGTATCCTACATAGCACATTTAAAAACAGCCTGGAGCCTGTGAATTCGCCTCGGCACTGGTTAGGGAAGGAGACAAGTAGTTCAAGAAAGGCAAGTTATTAAATCTGTTCTTTCCGATTCCCGCAGAACCTGGTAAGCTAAAGATGCTTTGAGCTTTTCCTTATCGATGGCACCAGCATCTGGCTTTCTGCTGCAATCTGCATCGAACTGGGGACCACCGGTGCCACAAAATATAAAACTCTTGTTCCTTTGGAGGAAATTTACCTGTCACTGCAACCAACTCAGTGACAGAATTGCCTCTGCAGATGCCTTTGATGAGGGGGAGTTTAAAAGTACCTTTAGCATCGGCGTAGCGACATTTGAGTCAGCCCCACAACTGCGGACGATTTTCTTCACATCCGTGGGCATGTGATGTGGCATACCAGAGTCCACCACTCAAAAATGCCACGAAATACAACGAATCGCCGCCTGGTGATGCATCGACATCGATGAAGAATTACGTGGTGACATTCATGGCGAAAGTGCTTCAAGACGAGTGTGTTAGAAGCAACCTCCAATAGGATGAATGTTAACCAGAGGGACAATACACTCCTAAATCAACTGAGAATACAAAGTTATGGTGGAAACGAAGCAATGGCTCTCAAACACTTATTGGTAGTACACCGCGCTGAGGCCTCAGGACTAACAAGTACACTGTGACAACGTGCCGTGTACTCTATTACTCTTGAAAAACTTGTGATGATAAGTGACTGATAGCTACCTAATACACCTCGAACGTGTAAAAATAAAAACTTATTCTTTAAAAACAGCACATGAATATTCACCCAGTCTATGGGATTAAAGTCCTCTTCTGGATGTTGGAGGACATTGCAAGACCACACCTCTTGCCGCACGGACAGATAGGAGGCGAAGATGAGATTGGAGGGCGGAGAGAGAGGGGAGCTAGAGCTAGCTTACCTCCTGGAAGTAAAAGGTCTTACAAAAGTAGGACTATCAGTTTAGTCGTGTCGCGCGGGGAAGGCACTATAGGCTTTAATGATAGTGCTCATCATTACACCAGCCTCAGAATACACGTTTTGGTATTTTCGAAGTTACAGAATAAAAGAGTGATAAGCTCAGGGAAACTGGTTTAGTGATTCTTGGCTTAAAATGGATAATACCATAAAATGAGTGAATAAATTTCGATAGACAATGGTAAAATTCACGGCCCAGCTTGAGGACACACAAAAAACTGAATGACATTCATCAATTGATGGATATTTTTAAGGAAAGCGCTTTGTCTACAATAATCTAAAAGTTGCATAAACACACATCAAACATCTAATAAAACAACCATCGGCGGTTGCCAAGTCATTTAGACTTGGGCTCAGCAGCCTCCTCTTCCTTCTCCTCTACCATTCTAATGGACATACGACTCCTGGGCCCACTTTCGTCCGATTCGTTAGGAAAAGTAAGCTCCACCAACTTCAAAGGTCTCTCACTTTCCCGAATCGAAGACCGCGAGGCTCCTCCGCCTTTCTTTTTCAGTAGACCTGACCGGGAGGCTGTGGACCTGGATAAGCAAGGACAGCGCAATGGTGTCATCATGGTTTTACTGCCGAACTCGCGGAAGTGGCATCTACGGCGGCCAGCTAATTAAGAGAAGCGGTAAAAGTGCAGGACTCGTGCTTGATTACACATGATGAAACGGCCCATGATACGGAACTGTGGGGCATCATATGTTCTGTTTACTCTGTTTCAAGGTGAGTGATGTCGTGATCAAGTACTAACGGATGTGGAACAAAAGAAGTTCATTCTTAAAACCATTTTAGCAAAATAGGCAGAGGATTGTGGTCATGAGACTGACAAATCACATCTCTGGCTCAGATGTCGTAATGATAGCAATTGTCATTATTTTTTTCGGACCGTTTCAACTGCTGGTGATAAATCAAAATTCTAGTACAATCATATATCACAAAATGTCAAAAAATGTAACACAAGTTTTTGATCACGGTTTGTACATTCTTAAGTTATTTCGATCGTTCAAAACGATATTTCGAGGGTCATCTTTAATTCCAGTGTATAGGCTGAACACTGCTACTTAAC